TTCGATGTTTTTTCTTGTATAACATTTTTTTTGTTCACTAATGATTGTAATTGAAATCTTTTTTCTCGAACAGCGAATTTTACTTCAATTACTTCAGTAGAATCCTCTGGTAATTCTTTATCAATGCCTAGATCGAACAATCCGGTACGGAAACGGCCGGTTCCGTGATATTCCGGAGATTTCATGGAAGCAGTATTCCCGTTGAGCGGATCCGGTGACCGGATTTATCTGGTTTAAGTCGGAACCGACAGGAACATGTCAAAATCGGCAGTCGGATACGGTTACCACACTTCTCCATCGGATTCCGGGCGGGTTTCGCCAGGAAATGGTTAGTTTTCTCAGAGATTTCTCCGAAAATTTATGGAATCCTGCTTCAGGAACCATCGTCCTGGGTGTCTTGAGGATTACCAGAATAAGCTTCTTCTGTCATATCAAGATTAATTTGCATTAATTCTAGCAAAATATCTTGTTGGACTGTCTAAAAACTTATATTTTAGAAGCCATTGGGGACAGCAGTATTAAAAAATGAATAAATATAAGAGTATATTACTCCTATAAAATACATCAAAAATTTTATCAAATTTTATAGGCTTAATATTTATTCGAACTTTCGGTGTAACGAACACCATCATCTAGAAAGAAAGAAAAATGTAACAATAAACAACAGTAATGAAAATAACCATCTTGAGGGTGTGGGTTTCGCTGTCGGTGTGGTTGTTACGACTAGAAGACATCTACAGTGACACCCACACCCACAAGATGGTGATACAAAATTTAATATTTATTTACTTTATCCAGATCGACCGAAAAACTTGTTAAGTAACAATTCAATTCGTATTGATCTTTATGAAAAAACCAAATTAGATTATTGGACTAGTTAGTATTTATCGATTCCTTTTCGATTTCTACCTGTCAGTGAAATATCCGCTAAACTGCAAGTAACGCTCGTCTAAGGAGTTGCTTAGCTCTTTCTCGTTGAAATCGTGTTCTACAATGCTACGGGACCTTTTGCTTATGTAACTTGCAGACACTAACATTAGATTCGAGTTCCCCGACCTCAAAAACCATTTCGTCAAATTTTATAAAAAACAACTTTTTTTTGTAAAAAAATGGTCCGTTGTCTAAAAACTTTTTTTAAATAATTTTAAAAAACTAACGTCAGATTCGAAGTCCCCGCATTGAAATACCTTTGGAAATGTCTTTTCCGCAAAATCGATTTTCGATGTTTTTTTGACTTTGTGGACAGACAAGCAAGCAAACAACCAATTTATTTCTCCTGGACTCTTCTCTACGAGAAAGAGAATTAATTCCCGAAATACCAAAAATACAATCATGTTCTCTATCATGTGGAGAACATGGCATATTTAAACGATATATTAATGAAAAATTCTTAGTCTTCTGTTATTGTGACAAGGATATTCCAGTACTCATTGTAATATTACATATAAATGTGATTGTACAAATCAGTTTGTCAATCATCAAATAATCCATGTCAAAACAATGGGACTTGTATACCAACTGATGATCGTATTAGTTCAACAGACTTCAGCTGTTTTTGTCCAGAAAGTTATTCAGGTGGACGATACCAAAATAAAAATAATCGAACTGATATACATTTAGATGACAATATAATATCTGCAAGTTCATTACTACTACATTTTATAACGGCATTCAACAATGCTGAACATGAATTTATAAGTATTCTGAAAAAAATTTCATTTGATCAAAAAAATCTTCAAATTTACGTATCGCAACCATTTAATATTTTGCTCGTTGAAATTCCTAATCAATATTATTATCTAGTAGTACTTCGATAAGTATTCTTCAAACAACCAAGTTGACTAATCCTCTGTCAGCAGTTTGCTAAAAATATATAGTAGTAAAAGAATCGAAAATAGAAAACATTTTTGTACCCACAAAAGTTCACAATAAAAAAAGTTGGCTAATACAAATATTTTTCATATTCATATACCCATTATACATATATAATTCAGTAATCTAATAGAAAATGTTGTTATTTTAAGTGCAATTATTATCTGCAATGTAATCATCAACTACTATGCATGACAAAAGAGATTTTCCTTAATGAATGTTATTTAAACGTATAGGCTTATTTATTATTTAGTATGAATTTCATATAAAGTCATAAAGAAATAATATGCTTTTAATGGGAATGAATTTTTACGAGTAGCTACTAAATCATTTGCATGATTGTCAATAAGATTTATTTTTATACTCAAATAAATCATGTTTTTGATTAGCTATGAACGGTTTTTTCATTTATTTTTCCCACGTATTGATTGAATTTTCTTACGACTTAAAAACTATATGTGTGTGTATACTGCGTTCATTTTTATTCCTTTCATTTCCTTTTAAATATAATTTGTCACGTAATTTTTATCGATTACATTTAAACTAATTTCTTCCTTCAAGGACTCTAGAAATAATGTATCTTGTAAATTAACCAAAAAGATCAAGTACAAAAACGAGAATATTGCATGTCATAAAGATGCTTTTTTAATATTGTCTCTAGAATAGTTTCGAATAGAATGTCGATCTAACAATTCACTGGATTATTATAAAGAAAAGAGGAAAAAAAAGAGAAACACAATGTTGTTGTCGTTCAAAGGGAACTGTCGCCAACGGAACAAAAAAAAGAAGAGGAGTAGAAAAAAAAGAAATAGTCAGATAGAAGCTCATTAATATTGTGAGCAAAAAAGAAAACGTGCTCTGCAAGATAGATGCTTTTGTTTTGTTTCTGATAAATGTGAATAACATGCAAAACTATGAGCTTTCGCAAATGTCCACAATTGATGATGATCAAGGAACATTACTGAATAATAATGAACAAACAATTCAAGATGATTATAGATTATCATATCGGTTTGTATTAAAATATAGTTTTTAAAAAAAAATATTTTTTTGTTATTCTTAATGTAGAAATCGGAATGCTGAAAAACGTCCGTTACGTTTTTGTTTTTGTTGTATATTTTTATTTTCACTTGTATTTGCAACATCATTTGTTTTATTAAGTCCATATTTATTTCGTCCAAATAATCAAGAAAAATTTGATGATAATATACAAATTGAACTTATATGGACAAGTGCTTTTCCTAAATTATTAACTGAAACAGCATTTCGTCTTGTTGATTGTAATTCTGATGGTATACTTGATGTTATATTTGGTTATGGTACTGGTGTAGACACATTAGGAGAGAATCAATTGTTATGTGATCTTTATTTTAATGGAATTTATCCATGTAATGGAGGTGTTAAAGTAAAAATCAAATGAATTCGAATTAATTAAGAAATATTTTTTTACTTAAGGCTTTAGATGGTCGAAATGGACAAGTTTTATGGAGTTATGATAAATCAAATCATGAAGTATTTGCATTAAATTGTCAACAAGATATTGATGGAGATCATATTCCTGATTGTCTTACTGGTGGACGAGGAGGTGTAAGTTCGAAATTAAAATTTGTTTTTTTTTCGAAATTTTTATTTTAATAGACATTTGAAGCAATTAGTGGAAAAACTGGTGCATTAATATGGACATTTGATAATGAAGTACGAAGTACAACAATGAATTTTTATACACCATTATATTTAAAAAAAGATTTTGATAATGATGGTTTCAATGATATTATAACGATACATGGTGGTGATCCAATAAGAAAACCACGTATTTTAATATGAAATATATATTTTTAAATAAATAAAAACTGTTGCATTTAGATGATACTGTTAAATTAGCAGGTGAAGTTCTTCTTATTAGTACAAAAACTGGAAAACTATTGAATGTATCTATTGTTCCTGATCGAATGGAATCCTATTATTCTCCACAATTATTACAAAGATCATCGAATGAAGAATATATTCTTATTGGTACTGGTGGTGAAACACATGGTGGTGGACTCTATGCATTTGATCTAAAATGTTTTACTATTCAATGTTCATCACCTGTATAAAAATACATGAACTTCAAAACAAAATAGAAATCTATATAAAATTTCATTTATTTTTTAGTATACAAAAATAATCAGTGATGAATATAAAGGTGTTATGACACCACCGGTTTTAATCGATGTTAATAATGATGATATTGATGATATTATTATTCCACTTTATAATTCGACTTTATTTGCATTTGATGGTAAAACATTTAAACAATTATGGAATAGAACGTTTCCGAGTTCAGAAACATATAGGTTTATTAGATTTATTTTCAAGTTTATTTAAACATTGATCTTTTTTTTTAAGTTCTCCTGCAGTTGGATATTTTAATAATGATGATATACCGGATATTATGGTTCATTATCAAACAGGACCAGGATATCCATTGTATTATAGTGCTCAAGTATAGAAAAATGAAAATATTTTCAAAATTTTCTAAAATTGATTTTTTTTAAATAGACAACGATTCTTGATGGTCTTACAGGCAAAACAATTCTAGATAAACCTGTTGAACAAACAGTTGGTGTACAAAGTTCACCATTAACTAGTTAAGTATTCATCCATTTACTGAAAAAAAATAAATTTATTCTTCTAGTAAGTTTTAAAGAACGTGGACATGATATGTTTATTTATTGGATGGGTGAATGTGATGGAATTAATAATAGTACGGAAAGAAAAATTGATTACGATAAAAGTATAGTATTTCTTATTCTTATTATAAGATTAATTTTTTTCTTCTATAGATACACCTAGTGCTCTTCTTTCACATGCTGATATGTGTAAATTAAGATATCAAACAACAAGTTTTACTGCACTTCATGGTTTAACACAATCGATGAAACCCCCTGGTGTTCTTATTTATAATTCAAGTAAGTACTCTTCTAAAAATATTTCTTAATGTTATTTATTGAGTTTAGATCATTATGTTGCTCTTGAACGTAGTACTTCAAAACCAAGTTCAATTGATATAGAAAAATTTCTTGAAGAACATCCAGATTATTCATCACTCTATAAATCATGGCAACGATTAGATAATTATATGGAGGTATGAAATATGAGATTTTCTATTAATTCATTTATTTATTTTTTTATTCAAAGGGTAAAGAAACAATCGATACAACACCAACGACAACATCTGATGAAACAAGTAATGAAATACAAACTAATGAAGATAATGAAGATGATACTGATTTTCATACAAGTCGAAAAAAATATAAACGACATGTTGGACCACATGATAATGGTGGATTACAAAGAACTATTTCTACGGGTATAAACAACAACAAAAAAAGAAATACTTGTTATATGATTTTATTTTAGGTACATTAGCTCCTTCATTTGAATTAAATTCTAAATCAAGTATTGATCTTATATTTGCAACATATTGGATACATTCTGATACATCAACATTATTACATGCTGATGAGCGTGCATGTATTGATGAAGGCATGGCTAAAGAAGAAGATCGATTAAAACCAACTAATGGTAAATAGTTTGATTAATTTTCAATTTATTTATTTTGTTTTTTTTCTATAGCTAATGTTTTCGGTATGGATCATGATGCATATGAACATTATATAGAAGATTTATGTACAAATAAAACTCGTTTAAATGAAACTGTATTGAGAATTTCTCCTGATTTAATTGATCAAGTACAAATTTCAATGTCAAATCCATTTAAAAAACAATTAGGACAATTAACTGTCTATCGTATTCGTCTTCATTTTAAGAAAAATCAATGTGAACAAAATAATCTAACAAATTGTCAAATTATTTCAGAAAATAATAATCTTCTACCATTTAAACAACAAATATGGCCAGCTTATATGGGAATAAATGGAGACTGTCATGCAAATAATCGGTTTTAAATTTTCTGTTGTTTTCGAAAGAAAATGTGTGATATTGTTGAAATATTTAAAATACATGGATAATATGTTGTCAATTAATTTTTCTTATTTCTAATCTAGAAATCTCTAAACAGATGGTTTGATTATTGTTTAAATAGGAAATAAATTTCCTTCTTCTATTCAGTATAAACGCTAAACATTTATTGGCTTTATAATTCTGTTCCATATAAGTTCATCACGTTATATAGGTCAAATGGTTTGTGCTATTGCATGAGATCTAAGTCCATAGGTCTCATGTGCTTTTTTTGCGTTTCTTCACTTTTTTTTTCTTCTGCCGATTTCCTCATTCTCGTCGTCTATTGCACCAGCCAGATAGACAATTTACGTCAGCTAGACCAAGATATTCATTCTCCTTTCTTCTTTTTCTCGACCGTCGAGTATTACTTTGCGGTATTCGTCATCATTGCTATTTTACTATTATAACGCATAAGTCGCCATTTTCTCTTTTTTTCCGACTCGTGTAGATGCATGTGTGTGCTTACAGCGTCGTGGTCTTATAAAAGCAAAAGAGAAAAAAAAGCAGAGAGAGAGAAAAACGCGTAAAGCCACTTTGTTTTTGTATTCTATTGCTTGTGCATATATACATACACAGACACACACACACAAACATTCACATCACAACAAATTTCGATTTAATTCTTCGACTGATTTATAAATGTATTTATTTTCGTTATAGATAAATAATTCGTTGAATTCAATCGATCATAAATGGCTTATTCAGTATGTGAAAAATTAATTAAATCCTATTTTATTATTTAATATTTTTTTGTTCAGTCTGCTACTACATCAACAACACGAACAGGAGATTCATGTTGTCGTGCACTTGAATTTGAACTTAAAAAAAATGGTCCATATATGTTAGCTGGTCTTGGTGTTAGCGGTGGTCTTCTTCTTCTCGCTAATCGAAATATTCCTGCAATTGGTATTCCTATCTTATCTTCAGCTGCTGATCGAGTTGCTTGTATGTATTGAAATTTAATTCTAATATTCAAAATTAATTGTATGTTTCTTATTATTTAGATGCTCTTCGATGGACTGGACTTGAAGTAAAATTATTTATTTAATTCAATGTATTTTTAAACGAGATATTACTTTTTTTTAAAGGGAATTTCAATGGTTACAGCTGTCTGGTGTGTTATTGGCGTTCGTGCTAAATGTAAATTGTTCTTTTTTTCTAATTTATATGTATTCATTTATTTATTTATTTCAAGACGGTATTGAACCAACATCATCAGAAGAAAATCGTCATTTACAAATTTCACAACGAATTTTAAGAGATACAACTGAATCATTTCTTACATTTACTGCTGCTAAATTAGCTTTAGCTTCTGTACTTGAAGCTGATAATCTTCGTATTATTCCTGCTTTATCAGGTCTTTTTATTCTTGGGTAAGTTTTATTCGATAATAAATTTAATTGAATATTTAATTAATTTTCTTCTAGTCGTTATACATTTGACGCAGCTATCAATCATCCAGCACATGCATTCGGTTTCACTGTCAGTACTGTTGCTACATTTACAGCTTATGGTCTTTTTCTTTATAAAATCTTTTCAAAAGGTATTCATTCAAATCTTCTTCCATTTTCACTTCGCTAAAAGCAAGAAATGATCCAAGAAGATATAAAACAAACAATACAAATGAATTGACTAAACAATTTCTCTAATTCTTTTTTTTGTAATGTGTCGTAGAATAATTTTTTCTTTATGTATTCTTAATCATTCACTCTATTGACTCTTTTTGTTTGTAAAACAATCTTTTTTTTTTGTCCCTCATTGACCAACAATAAAATATATCTTAACATTTCCTTTAAAATATTGTATTGAATTCATGAGCATCGGAATTGAACAAATAGATTTTGATAAAAATTGAAGAGATTAAAAAAAGAACATTTAAATTCGCTTAAACAGAAATTCACAAAAAAAATTTTCAAAATGACAGACAGATGTCGATTGGCGTAAAGTAACCAATAAAATTTACAGTTTGGTTGTCAATGGAGTTAAACAACCAAAATGGTGATATAGAAACAATTATTAGTTAGCAGATGAAAAAGTTTTTTCTCATCAACAATGACTGAAACAAATGGAGACGAGGTTTAGATTTGTTTTTTTATCATAAAATTTAATTTATCTCGTTTATAGCTACACGCTTCACATGATGTTAATGGACACGAACATGCAGATACCGATGAAGAAGTAGCTGATCAACAAAATGATAGTAACAATGATGTACAAGAAGAAATCTTACCACCTAAACCTAAATTACAGCCGATTATTGCTCCTGATATGTTTCCTCCGTTTGTATTTCTATGAAATAAAAAGAGTTTTCTTACAAAAATCTGTTTAGACCTATTGTTATATGTGAAAATCCCGAAAATTATCCTGAATCATATCGAACAAACACTAAAAAAGAAGAATTAATATTAACATTTATTGAGAATTTTCGTCGTCAATATCATTATATTTATCGTGATCGTAAACCACTTTTTCTCAATCCATTAAATGAATGTGGTTTACCTGTAAATATTTATGTTCTATCATTTTATTTATTTATTTTAAAATTTTTCAAAATAGAAATTTGTTTGTACAACCGTTCAACCAACATTACTTTCATTTTCAAAACTATTTCAATGGAATGATGCAGCTGAATTTGTTGCCGATCATCTTAATTATGAATTACTTGAACCACCCCATGAACTTGTATGTTAGAAAAATGTATACTTAATTTTTCCTAATAAATTTCTTTTTTGTTTAGCCTAAAACACTTTGGTCACCGGAAAAAGTTCTTTATGATCATCGTGGTAATTGTTTTGATTATGCTAATCTTCTTTGTTCATTCTTAATTGGTGCTGGATATGATGCTTTTGTTGTAAGTGGTTATGCAACAAGAGAAGTTTGTTTTATGGATACAACTCGTTTACCAAATCCATATATAAAAAAACGAGAAGAAGTATATTTAATATTGTTTTCATCAATAAATTTCTAATGTTAATTATTCTAGAAACATATCGAACGGATAAAACCTCCACATAAAAAATATACCGTTAAACCACCAAAAGATTTAACATCGAAATATGATGCTTATATGCATCAACGACATTTGGATAAAATTCAAGCAGATAAAAATCGACGTCAAGAAGAAGAAAATAAACGAATAGCTGTGAGTTGATAAATAATTGACGATTGATAGGAAATATTTATTTATTATAGGAAATTGAAAAACCATTACCGGATCCTCTATATGGTATTCGAGTGCATGCTTGGGTACTTGTTTTACCGGGTAAACGTGAAGTACCTGAAGCTTTTTTTATTGAACCAACAACGGGTTATGGTAAAGCAACAAATGATGTTGAATATTTGGGTATTGAAAGTGTTTGGAATCATCAAAATTATTGGGTTAATATGCAAGATTGTTCCAATGGTTGTGAAGTTAGTTTTTCTTGGAAAAGCGCTATAATAAAAGTATTTTGTATTTTTATATATTTTAGTCACTCCAATTCGATTTAAATGATCAAGCTCGTTGGGAATTTATGTTTACTTATTCAACTAGTTTACGTGGAGCAGTAACAGCTACATTAAATACTATCGGTAATTCTGCAATTCTTGATGAAGAAGAAGACAAAGTAAATCAATCATGTTTTTTCTTCAAATAGATTTTATTTTAATTTAATAGGGAACTGTTGACACAACTCAAAAAGATATTGAAGTACCTCCATCATGGGTTCGTCATCTTGATTTAACACCAGCAGGTATAATTCTATAAATACTAATTATTTAATTTCTAGTTAAATCTTTTTCAGAATTTCAAAATCGTTATCCACATTCTCGTAAAACATATTTCTACAAAAAGACTCGTGTTGAAAAATATGCACCATATTTCATGAAAGATGGAATTGTTCTTAAAATATCTGAATTTGCTGATTATGATTGTAAGTTAAATTTCAATACATAATATACCAAAAATCTTATTTTATTGTGTACAGTTAAAGAACTTATTTATGTTACACAAAAATATGAACATCGTCATGATAAACTTGAAGAGCGTGGACATGATATAAGAACTAATACAGTTTGTGAAATATATCTACCTGGTAGACCTGATCAATTAAAAGGTAAACTATGTTCAAATTTCTGATCATTGAGCAACTGCGTTGACTTTTAGAACATACGTATGGTTTTGGACCAGAATTTGAGCGAACAATGATTTATTATGATAAAGCACGTTTAGATGGTTTAGCTAAACGACATGAAACAATGCTTGAATTAACTGATTATTTTGTTAATCGTGATGATTTTCTTGAATATCGTAAAGCTCTATTTGAACCACGTCCTAAAAAATTCGGTCCAGCTGAAAAAGATAATCAACGACCGATAATTGTAATTATATTTACTTGATAAAAAAGACAAAATTTATTTTTCTTTATAGTCTATAACAGAACGATATGGTCGTAATGTAGAATTAAATGCTAATGATGATATTCGTGAATTAGTTTTTGCTATTAAAGATGATAAATTTGTTATTACATATCATCGAGATGATATTCATATAACACCATCGACAAGGTATGTTTAATTGTAGTTCAATTTTAGAAATAATTTCTTTGCTCTTTTTTTTTCTTTCGTAGAACATACATCAAACCAGTAAGTTTTTTCATATGAATACATTAAAATCACAAGTAATTGTGAATTTAGGTGAACTGGAATGATAAAACAATAACAATAAAATGGAGTGATGATTTATTATTAGAAACTTATCAAGCTGATGAAGACTTTAAACAAATGTCTAAACGTGATCTTTATTATAAAATGCTCAAACTTATGGAACAAGAAGAAGAAGTTACGCGACGTGTACAAAAAGCAGAAGATGAAGTAAAATCTGTTATTATATATTCAGAATAAAATATTTTTCTTTTAAAGATACGTGATCTTCAAAATCGTCGACAACAAGAAGAACTTTCAAATGAACTTGAATATAGTGTCTACGATACAGAAAGAAATAAGAAATCAAGAGAATACAGAGATTTATTAGTAAGTCAATACAATTGTACAAAAAGATCAAAAGAAACTTTTCTGAGTTGAAGAATTCGTTTATTTCCAAACTTCCATGCGCATCGTTCGAGTGTAAAATGAGGAGTTCTTTCCAAGGGGGAAAAGCGGATCCCGTCTATCCGGGATACAGTCACAATCTACAGGATCCGTAGGATACAATGACGATCCAGGGGATCCACAGGATACATTGGGGATACGGAAAATCCCGGGATTCCACAATCCGCTTTTTCCCCCATTGATTATTTCACTTTCGAATTCTCTTACAAATGTATTAACTCTTAATATATGTTTCTTTTTTTAGGATAAAAGAGATAAAGAAGAAAAAAGAAAAAGAGAAATTAAAGATGTTGATTATCTCGCACCATTTCTTGCTGCTATTGGTTTGTATATTTATATAATACTTTTTTCTTCTTATTCTTGTTTTTGATTATTTTTACAGGTAAACCTAGTCGAATTAATGCTCATACCGCTCAAACATTACGTACTTCAGCACAACATGACTTCAAAGAACGTTCAATTCGTAAAGCTAATCTAATGCAAGCACGTTATGAAAATGAAGTTCAAGAACTTATAACTAAACAACAATGGTATCAAAAACATCAAATTGGTATGACTAAAGAAGATGAACTTGAATATCAACGTGTATGTCAAGATGCACAATTTCGTTTACATATTCTTGAAGAACGACTTGATCGGTTTGTTAAACAAATTTCTTTAATTTTTTTAAAGATTAAATTTTTTGTTTTTCTTTTAGACATAAAAAATTAACAGCCGAGAAATATTTGCAACTTGAAAGTAAACTTAATGAAGATCCACGTTTAAAAGAACCATATATTATCCCTGAAGAAAAAAAATAATACATTTTTTTCCTTGATTTTTATTTTATAAAAGAGATTATTATCAAATAAGAGACAGAACAAACACACACAGAAAAGAAATTTGATTAAAGAGAAAATAACATTTCTATACATTAAATGTGTTGATTAATTTGCACAAGAGAAAAAAAAAACATAATTTTCAGATATGAGTGCGATAGGAATTCAACGAAAAATTGCACAAAACGAATAATAAAAAAAAACTTTCATATATTTTCGTATAATTACATCTGACAGTATTTGCTTATAACGAAGAGAATATTATACCCATGAATCAGGTGATACAGGCGATTGCTCGAGTTGATTCCATGTGGCTGGTTGAACTTGTTGTGGTCGAGTTTTATGAACAGTTGCATATAATTCTGCATGTGGATCCATATGAGATAGAGTTAACTAGAAAACAAAAATATTTAATTAAATTTTTAAAATAATCATTTTATGACTTACTCCATTTCCATAAGTTCTTGATAGATTATCAACACTTTGATTCATTTTTTGCATTCGATATTCTTCTGTTCCTGAATTGAAGATAAAAATCCTATTTGTTTTCAACATAAATTTATTCTTTGCTTACTTTGTGGACGAACAATTTGTTTTCCTTTTGTTGTAAAATGTGTTGGTTGTCCCATATCACCTCTTGGTCTATGTAATGTTGATTGTGGACTTGATGTTAAAGATTTTGAATTAATTGAACGATGATTAAGAAAATCATTTTCTTTATAACTATTTTGTTTATAAAATTCATGTAATGATTTATGTTTATACATTGTATTAAGCACATGTGCAGTATATTTAATAACTTTCGAATTATAAGTATTTGCTTTTGCATTCATAATACCTTTCATTTTCATCACACCACCTTCTTGAAATAACATTTTAGCATTCATTTCATTTGTACGTATTATTTCATTGAGTGCTGCTAGGACCGATGCAAGTGTTTCATCTGAATGTAGACGTCTATTTGTTGGTTGTTCACATGGTTCAGGTAAAACAGCAACAAGTTCTTTAATAGCCCAACCACCAAGTACATCACAATTTTTTTGATCAATTGCTAAATTACGTAAAGCAATAGCTGATGCATTAACAACAGAATCACATTCATCAACACGTAACAGATCAACTAATTCAACAAGACCACGAGCTTTTCGAACTTCAGCACGTAAATCAATCGATGGTTTCCAATAACAAGCAGCTAAAAAAGAAAGATTTTAATTTTAATTAATTGTTTTTTTCCTTGAGTTTACATACTTAAATTTTGAATACAACCAGCTGTTGCTTCAAGTGTATCAGGATTACTACTATGTCGTAAAAGATGAACATATGTAACAATAACATCTGATTGCCAAAGCATTTCAACAGGTCGACCTTGACGTGGTGGCATAACAGGATAAATATTATTTCCTGCTTGTTCATAGATTTGTTTAGCTTTCTTTTGTTTTGTACTCATACAACCCGTTTTAATTTTTTCATTTGATTGTGCTGGTGTCATACTCCATGTTGATGTCGTATTTATAGCTGTTGGATAATTTCTATCATAATCTCGATCAATAACTTCTTGTAATTTATATGATAAATTACGTAATACACACATACAATTTTCAATTGATTTATTATCAATTTCATTTAATGATTGAAGACTTGAATTTACAGCATGAAGAATAGAAGGAATAAAACCTTCACATTCACGCATTTTACGACGACCTTCATAATCAGCAGATGAACAATTACTAAACAAAGAGACAATTTTAGTCGTTTAAAGGTTATATTCATAAATATATGGGACGATTTCCTTCCTAAGAAAAGAATGGAATGTTAATTATTTATAGTTTATATTATGTATTAGATAAACTTAAATATTTAATTACCGAAGTATTCCAGTTGTATTTTTAAATACTGGTGGAAATTTTCCTTGTGGATTTAAACGTCGATTTATATCAGCATCCCAACCAGAAAATGGAATAATAATATTTTTTACAAGTACATTTAATCCCTCATCGAGTATTTGTCCTTTTAAATGTGGAGATGATGATGCATTCCAAAGTACAGCTGTAACTGATTCACGAACATCTTCATAGGGTGTACGACGTAAGAGATGTATTAAAGCCGGAATACCACCACGAGTTTTTAATTCAAGCTGTGTACATAAAAATAGCATATATATTACAAAAAAAGGAGATTACTGTTACTCAAACCTTATTTTCATCATTTCGTTTACCATAACATAAATTTCTTAAGGCACCACAAGCATTTTTTTGTATTTCAACTTTTTCATGATTTAATAGCGCAATTAAATATGTAATACCATTTAATGATCTTGTTTTTGATTTAATATTATCATCATTATAACATAAATGTTGTAAATAAGCAGCAGCATTCTCTTTAATAACATCACTTGTATGAGTTAAATATTCAATAACTTCTTCTAAATCAGGATCACGCCAATGTTGTTCTAATTTAGATACACAATATATATATATTTAACAAAACAAAACAAAACAATAATAAAGCAAAGCAAAGCAAAGCAAAGCGGGGATGATATTTCCTACCTCGAAATTCTGTATCGATTGAAGGTGATCGTCTTTTAGATGTATAATCATCTTCATTTAAACCATACGGAGCATACATACGACTAAGTGTTCCGTATTCTTCACCATAACCAGGAGGAGCTAAAATAATTTATTAGGGAATGCATATACAAATAATGCAAGCACATAGAGCAATACAAAAAAGAGAAAGAATGCAATTTATTAATTAATTACCTTGTCCAATACTATCTGGTGAATGTCGTCCAGCTGTTGGCATAAGAACACGACTAACTGGATCAGGTCGACCAGGTCCTAAACCTTCATATGGATTTTCGACATCAAGATCTGGTTCATCAACTAAATTTGGATCATTTGGATCGTAGCCCATGCTTTTTTCATCTGTATTTACTTAATTGAAAAGGAAAAATAACAAGAAAATATGTTTTATTTTTGTCAAACATACTTTTATTATTTTCTGGTTCATTATAACCATTTCCATTGAAATGTTGTTGTGAAAGTATTTTTCCATTTGAATAAGCTTCATGATGATTATTATCATTTATATTAAAATTTTTTATTCCATTCGCTAATTCTTTTGTTACACAATCATATTGTGAATAGGGTGAATTAGGTAGAAATCCACCACTTGTATCATGTTTTAATAATGATTGATATTTCGGATCACTTGATCGAATTAGTTCACCAGTTATTGGATCAATAAGATGACGATGTACTCGTGTTGTTTTTTCAATTTTAGTTACTTTCGATAATTTTTGAGATTCCTCTTTTTTTCGTATTACTTTCATACCATCGGGTGTTGTTTCTTCTTCAACTGTTGTTGTTACTTTAACAATATTTGTTTGAGGATTTTCATCATCATCACCATCGGATGTATATGTATATGAATAAACAAGACGTTCATGTTGGGTTTCATCTTGTTTGGTTTCGCCGGGCATTTTAGATTTAACAATAATCGATTATGACTAAAAAAAATATATATCGAATACAATCTTATATTGATCTAGATTATGGAATAAGAATTTAGTTGATGTCTATATTTCTAGATCAAACATATGAAAGATTAATTACCAATCAATCCTATCATATCCAACAAAAAGAAGCAAAGGTCATATGTAAAAAAAAAGAGAAACTTGCGTAATGGAGATATATATATATAGGTAAGATATCAGAAGAATTTCTTATCGAGAAATTGATCTTAAGAGGAAAATGAAACATTGTTATAATAAAGTTAATCATCATGAAACAAGTAGAGCATAAATCCCTTGAGAAGAATATATATGTAATGTTATAAAATCTCTCTATGTCTCTCTCTCTCTCTATTTCCTGTCGTTACATCAATACTTGAAGGTATAGAAATATATTTAACAATAGAATTTTTGTTATACATACTCCTAAAGATATTTATCTGACTGCTAAATAATATTACTCATTCGTGCAAATAACACATAATAGTTTTTCTTCACTGTCATAGTCTACGAGATATAAAACATCTGGTATCTAAAATGAACGCAATTTTTTTTCTTGTTGCATGTATTTAGTGAATAGACTTTTCCTTTTTTTTTTTTCTTCGATCTAACTCTCTCTCTCTCACTCTCGCCATCTCTTACGTATACTTGACTATTTGTCAAAGAAAAAGGCGGAAAGTCATTCTGACGAGTGAGGTCCTTTCTATTTTCTTCGAAGTAATCACAAAAAACCTTGAATGAACAAATATAATCAACAGAAGGGACAACAGAAGAGTCGCTTACCGTCACAAATCATTTTCTTTATCTTTTCTCATGGTATAAATTTCATATTAAACCTATTAGTAGTTCGTATATATTCTCTTATTCAATTCGTAATTTTTCATGCACATCTAATGTAGACAGTAAGATATACTAACATCAGACATCAAAATAGCAATAACTCTCGACCACATACTCATACATTGAGTGCACGAGACGCACATATACATATGCATATATATATATATATACAATGACCGACAATATATGTTGACCATATGAGAAACGCGAGCGAAAGAAAAAAGAGATGTAATTTGTTGTCTAGCTGATAGACAAAGAGAACGGACAACGACATCGAGCAGGCTTCTAATTGAACATTTATCTAGGTCTTTTTTTCTTTTGCTGGCATAAATCCAAAGTTAGAATATGAATAAGTAATTATAAAATAACAAAAAAAAGAAATAAGAATTCTTTGTCGTTTATACGATTCATTAACGATATTAAATTAATAAGAAAAAACGTCTCACCTGAGATCCGAATTATAATTAATGTATAGAATTACATGAATAGGAAATATAATAAATTATTAGTATAAATCTTGAGAAAAAAGAAATAAATACATAGAGAATTATTAATCAAAAGCCAGAAGACATATAAAGAATAAAAGAATAGACAAATGCCTATAGTGAAAAAAAAGAAAAGAAAATGACTACTTAGCGACATCATCCGCGTTCGAATAAGCAGCCATAAACAGTCACACTAAACCTCGATTATGGATCAATTATTGAACCAATAGAAAAACAAGAAATTATTTATTTATTAAACATAACATAATATATTTATGATTAATATTTTGAAAGATGTCTATTAGTTGAAGAATTTTCCGTTTTGTAATATCTGATAATGTAAGTTTTTTAGTATTTTATATTTATCTTGATAAAAAAGAAAATTAGTCATTTGTTTTGTAACAAATTGCACAACATGTTGGTTAAATTTTCGCTAGAAAAGACGTTTATGTTGTCGAAATCTACGCATATGGTTGAAATCGTGTAAAAATCCCCATGAATGACTTGGTGGATCATATTCAGCAATGATCATCGATAGAAAATTAACTTCTCTACGTTTGTTATTTTCAATCTCATTAAGATAAGTTAGTTGATCGTCTACATAATCAAGATTGAGCATAGACGCAAGTAATGGTACACTAGCTCGATGTGCAACAACAAGTATAGTTGGATTTGCTGTCATTTTTCTTCTTTTCTGAAAAACTCCATCAGTAATTCTCTTTAATACCAAATGTGTTCGACGATAATACTGTAAACGTGATTCACCAAGGAGAATTCCAGGGTCATTTCCCGGTAATATAGGACGATAATGTAAATCGACATTAAAACCTGCTGCTGAAAAAAAACCTGCTGATTGTATTGGTAATTCTCTTCGTATTGGTTCATGAAGTGCAAGATCAATTCTTATTGGATTTCTTCGACGAACTTTAGCACCTTCAAGTACAGCATCCGCTGTTTGAACACAACGCATTGCTGGTGAGCTATACACGATATCAGGTATTAAACCTATAGAACGAAAAAATTCTCCTGTACGATGAGCATGAGCTTTGCCATATCTTGTTAATGGTGTATCAAGTACATGTTCATAAGGATCGGCACGAAAAGGTAATACTGTTGGTAATTGAGTTCTGTGAGGAGAATAAACACCATTAATAAACGCTGCTGCTGGCCAATCAGGTTCTTGTAATACAGCATCTACTCGTTCTGAATGCCGCATAATGATAATACGCGGTCGAAACAGTTTTGGTGGTGGCTGCCTCATGTTATCAATCAATTTTGCCTATAGAAATTGCCTAAGAATGAATTCATTTATATATATTGATAGCATATTTTCAAAAAACAAATCAGTCGAGCGCATCTCCATCATTATAAAGGGTTGATAGAGAAAAAAAAAGTAAAAATCAAACGATTAATATCCATATCGACATCATTTTTATGCCATATTTTTCATGTTGATGTTTATACAAGGTTACAAAAATATTTTCATCAATTAATTAAAAGAATAATATTGAATAATTTTGCTTTATTCTATATATTCTCAAAGTTTTTTTAAATTTATTACTACAAATTGTCATAATATATCATGATATCTTAATTATCTGTAATTCATGATAAAGTACGTCTAGAAAAGTATCATATACGATGTTAAAATAACTAATGAGATTTTATTGCGAATATAATATATATATATTTTAGGAAAACAGATCGTTTTCCAATAATTGTATCAGTCTATGAATGCAATACGTTCGTGGATGAGTCATGGTTGTACTACTATCTCGCGAAGAAAGAGAGTGTAGTATTTTTCTTCGCCCCTTAACTTGATCCATTTGTGATTGGTTTTTTTTTGTTCTATTCTTTCCTATTAGTGGATGCATAGTCGTCGACCGTCTCTATTGACGACGGTCGGGAACGGGTAATAAGAAAAACGGAGAGAAAGAGAAAAAAACAGAAATTGTTGATTTTTTTTTCTTCGTTGTTTCTGTCGACGGACGTTTATATGTGCGATGCCTGCTTGTCTTCCTTCTTTTTCTTCATTTTTCTCCTTTTCTTCATACATCGAATAGAGCAAAAGAAGGCAAAGTACAACAATTTTTCTTCATCATAATGATATTCTCATAACACAAAATTCAATTTTCTTTTTTTTTTTATTTATTTCAGAAAAAAAAACTCAATTTATATTCTTTATTCATATCTATCTTTTTTCACATTGTTTCTTTTCATTCATACACATATCAAGTCGGAATATTTGGCAGTTGTATATTCATTCACATACGGCGATATATATCATACACATACATACAATTGTTTAGTGTCTTTAATAAAATAAATACTGATTCATTCTAAACCAGAACACACATACGGATTTGTCAATATATCAAACCACAAGAATATCCATCGGCATTATTAAAACGGTAACTAAATGTAAAAAAATTCTTTTCTTATTTTCAATTGTGCACATTGGATATTTAAAACAATAGACAGATTTTTCATATACTAAAAAAACCAATTTTCTTTCTTTCGTTAAATTATATCTATATACATTGGTCTACTTCATAATAATATATATCCTATACAAACTATTCCTAATTAAAAATAGATATGCAATATATATATATGTGACGTATTATCAAACAAATGAAGTTTCGATCATATATACAAATGTAATGAGATTTTATTTAGATATCTTTAAATAGATACGGAATAAATATACTGAAAATTCTATTCGGATTTATATATGATAGAATAAAGTTTAAAGCACTTAATGAATATATATTAGTGCGTAGTTTCATTCTAATCAAAAATTGACATTTTCTATCCCAGTTTATTTTTGTTATACATTATTTGAACAATTCTTATTTGTGAATATAAATTATGGTTTATCTGGAAATTGATATATGTATCTATGTATATTACAATCAATTATATTGCACGAATAGATTTTATTATCATAACAAATTTTGACAACAATTATTCTTCGATTCCATCGACTGCGACAAATATTTCAAATTGAAGTAGGATGGATATATATATCAATAATAAAGCTGATAGTTTAGCTTTGAGAAAAAACCAGTCGTTGCTTTAATTTCTCATTATTTAAAAAATATGAGACAAAAATATATGTATTCCCCCATTTTAAGTGTGTTGTTCTACCTTCGTCTCTATTCAAAGAAAATCAATATTTTCTTCGACAACTTTATACTTGAATCAATGTTTTATTATAACAACAATCAGTGTATAATTAGAATTGTTATTGGCAATTAAGAAACATCATTCATCGAAAAAAACTTTTTTCATGCAAAGTAAAGACAATTCATTTTCATCTAGTATTCGAGTTCTTTTTTTTTCGTATTTCATAAAGACAAAAATTACGTAGATTGTCACCTGAACAAGATTTGATTTTGAATATTATCAGATTCGTATGAATTAAATTTATCATCAAATAGTTCTAGCTTGCTTTCAAACTATGATCTTTCGAGTCCGTTATATAAATATCATCATTTTGCTATTTGATATGAGAGAAAGTTTCACAAATCGTTAATTGAACATGATGGTCGAAGCTAAAGATATACAAGTTTCACCTTATTTACAATACAAATATCATAGAAGCATATATATATATATTTATCCTATGAGTAATGATGCGAAATATATTTTTATTTTATCATCCACTGAAAATTATTTAGTTTAGTTGAATGTTCTCTTTAGAAATTAACGTAATGTGGCAATTATATCCTATGCTTTCTTGTGTGAGAGTGATGATTAGCTTATTAGTCAGATTTTATCATCAATCATGAATGACTTGTGTTAATTTTGTAAATGACTTTTATACATATATCTATATCAATGAAAACCATCTAATTCTTTATCTATTTGGAGAGTGTGCAGAATGAATGATGAGTTTATAATAGATATTCTTTTTGAACGTTGATATCTTTTCAATTATCTATGTGCACTAGATTTTTGTAGAAAATAGTCTATTTTTATCCATGTAAATACTGATTAAATGAGATAAACAAATTGTGCAATTCGAGTATTACCTAAAAATATGTTCTATATAAATATTCTTTGTCGTCCGTGTATGCGATAAACATACAAAGAATATAGTAGTTTAAGTAAATGAATCGTTTGATTACAAGTATTATTTAAAATCTGTAAATATGAAGCTGAAAAAAAGTTTTCATATAAAAACAACCTTTTTCCTTAGTTGAATGCCTCGTTAAAGATTTATTGAATACATCGCTATGAAAAAAAAATATTACGATTATTTTACAATCTAAAACTACACTTGCTATTATTATTGATCTGTCGATGAACTCTCGGACGAACGTAGACTACACTTTATTAAATTGATTAGAATGTATCGATCACCAGACATTATCACAACGACAAACGTGATGTTATACACCATAGTACAATACATATTTTCGAATGAAAGGCTTAAGGTATTACCTCTAAATATCATGTCGATCATTTCTATTACAATTGCATTCACGTTCGAATAGATATTACATAGCAGATTATAATGACTTAATCGATTCAGGCTAACTTAGTTAAAAATTCTTAAAAATCGCATATATTTTTTTCGGAAAGACTTTTCATCATCAATATATATTATTGAACATGATTTATATTTCGTCGATTTTCAATATACAAGTGAATGTCATTTTACGAAGTGATATATCTATTCATAGACCGTACTCTGATAGTTCATAAAGAGAAGAATTCATTTGAAGAAAAAAAAACATCGATTATTATACAGTCACATCTTTCTTCATTCCATACGTACACAGAACTTACAGTTATATCAAATTAAATGACGTATATCTGAAGAGACAAATCCACTTATAAAAATCTATCGTTTTTTTTTATGAAAATTTTATCAAATCGTAGTTTATTCGAATATTAACTCATAGTATTTCTTTGTCTCCATATTGAAATATAACTGCTGGCAATTTTTGTTCACGAGTATCTTTTAGTCCACATTCCGAGAATATAACTGGACACTTAATGAATCTTCAATATTTATTTTATTGTCTTTTCTACTGATTAAAATCGTTTTGAGTAGAATAGACGATTATAATACGATACTTTCTCTTTGGCAAAATTCTATCTAAGATGCACATTATGAATATCAAATGTCTTGTTTTTTTTCAATGTATTTATAAAAATAAAAATCTTTTTGTTTTATTCCCAAGATAGATTTTTTTCCTCTATTAAATCAATTTTTCATTTATTTCAGTATATTGACATAAATCTAAAAATAAAATTTTACAAATGTCCGTCATTATACGTTTGGAAAATTTACCATGGGAGGCACGTTCAATTGACATTCGTCGTTTTTTTCAAGGACTTCAAATTCCTGATGGTAGATTATTTTGATTTCAAGAAAAATTCTATCTATAACATATTTATCGTTTTTTTTTAGGTGGAGTGCATATTGTGGGTGGTGATCGAGGTGATGCATTTATTGCCTTTCATTCTGATGATGATGCTCGTCAAGCAATGCAAAAAAATGGTGGTTTAATTAGTAATCAACCAGTTAAATTATTCTTAAGTTCAAAAATTGAAATGCAACATGTTATAGCAGCTGCACGAGGTAAACCATCAGCACCATCAAATCCTGTAACAAATTCAAATCAACCGACACAACAAACAAATATTCCTCAACAGAAACGTACAGATCCATTATCTCAACAATATACTCATGATATTGATGAAAATCAACATCAACAACAAACACAAACATCTACAACACAATCAAATGTTACAAATGATCCAATGTCATCATTTCTTGATGTTGTAACTAAAATGCAACAACAGCAGCAGCAACAACAAAAACCAAATACTGCAGCAACAACTTTACCTACTACTACATCTGTTTTGCCAACACCACCGACAGCAACACCAGCTGCAACTGGCCTTGCACCAGCTAATCTTGTTCTTCAATTATTGCAATCAAATTTAAGCAATTTACCGCCTAATGTTCTTGCTCAAGTTCAAGGGCAACTTGCTGGTCAAGGTAAACTTTTTTTTATTATTAATTTTTTGATTAATTATAAAATGAAATTCTATTTAGGTTTAGCTTCTCAGCCAAATCAAGTTCTTCAGCAATTAGCTGCACTTCAAGCTGCAACACAACAACAAGCTTCACCCATGCAAACAAATTCTAGTCATTCACCTATCTATAATCCTACACAAAGTGCTTCAACTAATCCTTCTGTTGGTCATCATAATCTTCAACAATCATCAATTCATGATACAAATCAAACAACAAATAACAATGCATTTCCTCAAGGAGCTCCTCCACCTCTAAATCTATTTCCACCTGGTACAATTCCACCAAATGCATTAACAGCTCTTCTAAATGCTCAACAACAACAACAGCAACAACAACAATTACCATTTCAATCTGTTGCTAATCAATTACCAGCAAATTTTCCACTTCCACCATGGATGCAATCAGCTGCTGGTCAAACTCCATCATTTAATTTACAACAGCAACCTCAGCAGCAGCAACAACAACAACGTTCATTATTGAATCATCCTCTTATACAAGATGATCAACAAATGCGTTTAAGACAACATGATTTTAATTCAAATATAACAAATCAATTTCAACAATCATATTCAACTGGTAATTCACGTTTACCACAACAACAACAACAGCAGCAGCAATTACGATCAAAACTTCGTGAACCATATTTACGTGTTAAAAATTTATCAAGAAAATATTCATATCGTGATGTTAAACTTTTATTTGCTGATTATAAATTACGTTTAGAAGATATCAAAATGATTAATGATCAGAATGGTGAACGAACAGGTAAAGAAGAAGAAGAAGAAAAAGGATTATTATAATTTATTTTGAATTTTTTTTACAGGTGAATCTGTTGTTCAATTTCGTTCAATTGAAGATGCAGATGAAGCATTGCTACAATTTAATAATGTTTATTATGGTGGAGCTAATGTACAAATTGTACCTGCTAGTGAATATGAATTTGCATCAGCACTTGATTCATTTATTCCCGGATCAGTTAAAAAACGACAACCAGAAGGAGGTTATTGTGTTAAAGTTATTGGTAAAGAAAAAATTTTTCTATTTAATAAATTAAAATATTTTATTAAAATTATTTTTTTAGGTTTACCAAAGAATTGGTATAAACGAGATATACGTCGTTTATTTACAGCATCTGAAATTGTTTCCGAACGAGGAATTTATTTAGATAATGAAAATGATAATAATAATCAAGGTGGTACAGCTTATATTGAATTTGTTAGTGAAGTTGATCTTGAAAAAGCATTATTTTATCATGATGAACATTATGGTAAAGAAGAAAAAAACGAATTAATAGATTATATTTTATCGATGTCTTTTTAATTTAGGTTCATCACGATTGGAAATTCAACCGATAACAAAAAAAGAAATGGAATCAGAAATTGCATCACTTCGTTCAAAAGATAATCGTCGAAGAGATTATTATGATGGAGATTCAAGACCAAGACCACGATCACGATCACGTAAGATTTATATTCATTATTTATGTTTAATAAAATATATATTTTTTAATTGATTTTAGGTTCACGATCACGTTCACCAAAAGAACGAGATACACGTCGGTATCCACCACGTGATGAAACCAATGGTGATAATACTGGAGGAGGAGGTGGTTCATATCTTCGACGACCACGTCATAATGAAGGTAAATTTCTATGAATATGAATCATGAAAAGATCGATCAGGGAGAACGAACGAACTAGAGAATACAAACAAATATATGCATACATATATATGTGTATTTCTAAGAGAAAAGAGAAAAAACTAAGACACCTAACAATTTGATCATAGAGAAAATGTCCATATGTAATGTACGAACATATGGAACATCTTCTAGTTATTCTCTATATTTACTATTGAGTCTTATACCAGTTCGGATTAGTAAATCGAACAAGTTCGATTCATCTATTCATCGCATACATTAAATTAATCATATAGAAGGACTGTTCTTCGAACTATTTTATATAAAAGAGAACATGACAGATTTATTTGGCTAAGTGTAATCTAAGCTCTTATAAGCTTTAGTTGAATCTCATTATTACTACTCAGAATTAATATCTATATTTATTTAGAATTACCACCAACAATAACATGTCTTCGTTTACGTAATATCCCATATGCAACACGTGATCATGATGTAAAAACATTTTTTACTGGAATTGAAGTAGCACAAGATGGTATTTTATTTAAATATGATAAAACAGGTCGACCAGCAGGTGAATGTTATGTACGTTTTGGTTCAAGTAATGATTGTCGAAAAGCTTATGAAAAGAATCGTTCACAATTTGGTGGACGAATATTAGAATTACGACCATTATCATTATGGGAATTTCAAGCAGCTACATCACAAGAACCTGATGAAACAGGTGCAACTTTTTCAGCAAATGGTGGTTTAGGTAGACGAGAACAATTTGGCAACAACGGCGGCGGCGGTGGTGGTGGTGGTGGTGGACAAATGTATCATGGAGGACCTATGAGTGAAAAAAGAAAATTTCCTTATGAACGTATGGATGATAATGGAAATAATGATGATAAATCACCATCTGATCCACAACGTTTTGATAGAAGAAAAGGAGATTCATCAAGTCCACGCGGTGGTGGTGGTGATGGTGATAAATCACCATCGAATATGATTGGAGGTGGTTCAATGGATGATCAAAATGGACGTAAAATGATGAGAGGAGGTGGTAATAATAATAATTCATCATTTATACAAAAACAATTAACACAATTACCACCTGGTTATGATCAATATCGTGGACAAGTTTTATTAATGTCAAATGTTCATTTTCGTGCAACACGAGAAGAAATTTTACATTTCTTACATTCATTTCATCCAATTGAAGATACATTAAAAATACATCGAGATAGTTCTGGTCGACCAACAGGACATGCCGTTGTGGCTTTAACCAATGCTGATGATGTACCACAAGCACTTAAAGAACTTCATAATTCATTATTTCTTCTAAGAAAAATATCCGTTTGTGTTGTTTGATAAATTAGTTCTATTCATCTTTTTCTTCTTCTTTTTCTTTTTGTCTTGGATGTACAAATGATTTCCTTTTATTTTTCTCTCTTGGATCTCTTTTGTGTCGATCTTCTTCTTCTTCTTCATATACAAAAATATATATGTATGGATTCACATTTTGTTTTCTCTATTCTGTTGACTCGAAAAAACGTTAAAAAAAAGTATCTAAAAGCATTATATAAATATATATGTATACTTCTTTCTTGTCTGTCACATTTTTTTGGTGTTGTTGTCTACTCAACTGTCTTTTCTTTCTTATGTCAAGTGGACAAAGAGAATAAAACTTAAACAAAAAAAAAGAGACTATAAAAATTTATATTGATGATGTACATATATGCAAACATAGACGTATAATATCTCAAGTTAAAAAGTATTTTGTCATGTGTTTTTTTCCTCAAAGGAAATTAAAAAGTTTCGTTGATATACACGCCAAGTTGACATTAGATTTATATATATGTAGAAAATAAAGGATTTCATTGGCATTCTGATATACATCGTTTATGTAAGTAAATTACTTGTAAAATATTTATGATGGGCCTCATAGAATAATCTATTATTTTCTAATCAATTTAAATAATAACTTGATAAAATATTAGTTTATGTAATGGATGGTGTGGGTGTGAGAAAAAAACAAGTAAGATTATAACCATTAAACACTGCTTGAATTCTTCCTTGGTATAAATTGTTTTTTTATTTACTTGAAACTCTATGAACTACTACAGAGTAAAATATTAAAATGAAGAATTTTTACATTGTCTATTCGAAAGAAATAAGGATCGATCCTCGCTTTTTTTCCCTTGTGAATTACCACGACAATACTCTTAACCTATAAAATTTGAATATTATGCGAAGAAATGTTCAATCTTAATCTCTTATGTAGATCAGCAGTTTGTTAATATTAATTGAACTAGGGCTATCACTTGCATAACCTTGATAAAAAGTATCATTAGATGAAATTTGTGTCATTCTATCTTATTGTTTATTATTTCTGATACCACATCTTATGTCTCATGAACATGGTCACAAGCTTAGCAGTATACTATAATTATCATCTTCAGTATTTTTTTCTAAATTGATTTTAACTATCAATCTTATAATCGAATAAAAATTTATGTATTCCATGGTGAATGTAAGTTATAAAAAAAAGCAGAAATTCAATAGATTATTGTTTAACATTCACACCTATTGATAGATCATGATTAGATATTTTTAATTTGAAGATTAGTATGTATCAAAATAGAATTTATGACATATGCACACAGATTGATGTTCCTATTTTATTTTCGACAAGCAGGTGCACTCCCACGAGTCGCATCAACAGCAATAGACCGTTCATCCTTGAAGACAAAAATGTTCATTTTTGATTACATGTTACACAGTAGTCAGCTGCCTATCGACACACACGTCAATTGACAAACAATTGTCCATTTCTCTCTTAGGATAAAAAAGAAAACAACAACAGACGTTTGATCTTTGACCTGTAACTGAAATAATATCAATGTCCATTTTTTCTTTTGTTAGTTTTTAAAAGTAACCGACCTTGATCATGAACAACTAGGTTAATACATCTGTCCATATAGACAAATAAAAAACGGAAATAACTAGTATTAGTTTTCTTTTTGTATATGTATAAGCAAAAAAAAACATATCTATTCCGGGTGAATTTCATATTTTATTTTCTCAATCAATTCAACTTGTAATATGATCTGATCATAATCACCGCAGGGGTAACAACATCAATTTTTTTTCTTTGTTAAGTAGACTACTTATACACATTTGAACTTTATTAGAACTTATCTGACCACTCGGCTGGTAATTTTTGTTCAGGTATAGTCATAATCATTATACGATTATATTGTTGTAGTAGAAACACCACATGCGTATATATCGTAAGGATAAAATATTGACAGGCGCGCGCGCACACGCGCATGCATGCATACAATGATGACTTCTTATGTTCATACGTACTGCGTTTTTAACGCACAATTGACATTTGCTCAACACATTAGGAGGTCCATGATGCAATATATATGTATGATTATTTTTATACAAGCACCAGCTACTTTAGTCAATCATTATTAATAATTTTTTTCAAAAATAAGAACGAAAGAAAAATATTTTTCTTTGAAATGTATACACATATGTATTTTTATTGTCACTCAAAAAATTTTTATTGTTGATATGTAACTATAACAGGATGTGTTTCCGTTTTTGTACATGTCTCACTGATGAACGATAATAGGAGCACGCTTATGTTCCTTTTTGCCATCTATGAAGGTCGTACAAACATGTGTGATTGAACTTTGCTTTGCTTGATAGAGTCTGTTAGAGATTCTTCTTCTTCTCTCTCTCTCTCTTTCGTCTTATTCTTCTCCTTTCTCTTAATCTATATGAGAATGACACTATGTTCAGAAGGTTTGATTAGTTTCTTTTCTACATTTGCTTAACATATCGATTAACGAATCAATTTGACCAGAACAAAAGAAGGTAGATATCTAGTGATGGGAGAAAGATACTGCTGTTGGTTCATCTTTTCTTCTTATATTACATATTAAGTCTGATTTTTTCCTTCTTGTCAAATCCATTGTGGTTTATATACATCTTACGTAAGATTAATTTTTAGCTCGATCGATTCTCAATGGATGATGTTCAGTTTTTTTTCCTCCAAATTATTATGATTAGAAACTACACGCGAAGCTGACCACCTTTTTTCTTATATGGTCTTACTGATTAATTGTCCTCTCACTTTCTCTCTCTCTCTGTCTTTGTGTCGTTCTCTTGTTGTTATTATTATTATTAATATTATTCTTACTTCTATACACCTTTCTTTTTCGGCTGAATTTTTATCTCATATTTCTTACTAACACATAAATCCTTTTTTTTTGTCGTCTAGGTAAAATATAATAGCTTTCGTATATATGCATCATTAGTCTTCTATATGTTATGTTGCATGTGTCAATTTCATCTTAATCTCGGAAGTAAAATTTACTTGAAAGCCCTTCCCTTACTTCAGACATGCAACACTACAATATTGTAAGAGTTCTCATGTTCACTAGTATGATTATGTATATATATATATAGATCTATCTATATATATATATATGCAGCCTGATGACATCCTATCAATTAGAGCTTAATCGTTGTGCGTTTATTTTGACTAGTAGTAGACGTGTGTCCATCTGTGATCACTCCCATATATCAATAATCATTACACCAGTTGAAAGAACTACTAGAACACCTAACGTATGTAACATAAATCTCTAATAGATGCTGTTCAAAGGGATAATTATTGTCTATAATAGTAAATAGAATTCATCGTATATATGGCTTCATTTTCACGTCCATAAAAAGAATGAACATGATGAAGAAAAAAAGAAGAAGAGATAAACAGATCATACTTAAAATAAAACAGACCGTCTTGTGTATAGATAATTATAAAAACAAAACAATAGAATGACTCTTCTTCTTTCTCTCTCTCTTTCTTCCTTTCTCGTGTCAAGTTTTTTAACGGATAGGCTATTTCCGTTTTCTATTGCATAAACTCGTTGTCCCTTGTGTGTGTGTATATATGTGATGAGCGAGTAAATACAATTGACCAAATCACTTAGAGATAAGAGTTTGTGAACGGACGAGATCGTATAATTGCGTGACAATGATGTTCAAATAGAACAATCGAAGTAAAAGGCAATCTCGTCCATCTAAAATACAGCTGGACAATTTTTTTTCAAGAAAAATCAAAATTCTATAGAGATTTGTTTCTTATCATAAATAAATAATAAAGAAAAGCTCTTAAATCCAAACGAATATGATTTGCTATACGTAGTGATAGTTCATCTACCTTTTTTTCTTCTCTTCTTCCTTCTCTCTTCTCTATTCTCTCTTTCTCATTCCAGATAGATATATGTCAATACGTTCATTTCTACAATGAAAATGCCATTGAATCTATTTATATTTTTAACGTTTCTTATTCCATATTCTTCTTCAATTGTTTCACAAATTTTAACATCCGTATCAATCTTTGAAGAAAGTCCAATATCAACAATTGTTGTTGATCTTCGACCAACATTTCAAACACTTAATGTACATCCTGATCAAGCTGTTTTACTTCATAGTCAACCAAGTCAACCATTTGAATATATCAATGGACGTATACGATTAAAATCACGTTTAGATCGAGAAGATTATGTTCGAAAACGTTTATGTCTTGGTGGAAATGTTCTTGAATGTAATTTTACATTAACATTAACAGTTAATCTTAATCAAGCACCATTTAATTATATCTTATCTCAACCAATATCATGTCATGATATAAATGATATAATACCAAAATTTTCTCAATTAGAATCAACAATATCGATGGCGGAAAATGTACCTATTGGACATCGTATACCACTTGAAACTGCTATTGATTTAGATTCACCACCATATGGTATTGATCATTATCGTTTAGTTACATTTGAAAATCATGAACAACATCAATTTTCTATTGTTTATGATAATCAAAGTCGAGAATTAGAATTAATTGTTAATGAAAAATTAGATCGAGAAAAAATTGAAAAATATATTTTTAAATTAATGGCTATTGATCGTGGACATCCACCAAATATTGGTACACAAATGTTAACAATTGAAATTAGGTAATCACATGTCTTTTTTTTATCGAAAGAAAATAAATATTTGTTTTTTGAAGTGATATTAATGATTGTCAACCGAAATTTGAATCATCTGTTTATAATATTACAGTTGCTGAAAATACTTTACCGGAATATTTGCTTAAAGTTCGTGCTATTGATACTGATATAGGCTCAAATGCTGAATTAACCTATACACTTGAAAATGATCATAATGGTCTTTTTCTTTTGGATAAAACAACTGGAATATTAACATTAACACATTCACTTGATTATGAATTTCATACATCGTATCAACTTAAAGTTGAAGTTCATGATAATGGTGTTAACTCATTAAGTGATACATGTATTATAAATATCTATGTACTCGATCAAAATGATCATGCACCTTCAATACAAATGAAATTCAATCCAAAATTTGAACATAATCAAGATGGAAACATGGCTTATGTACCTGAAAATTTCGATATTCATTTACCAATAGCTTTTGTAAATGTACATGATCAAGATTCAGGAGATTATGGAAAGGTATGAAAGAATGAATGAATGATTAACAAACATCTCTAGATATTTGATGACGTAATTCACTGAACTATAGTTCAAGTAAAATCGAAGAATATATTCTGAAATATTTATAAAATTTATTATAAATTCTAACTTGATTTTAACGAATAATAAGGATATAATATATACTTATTTGAGACAGAACTGAACGGAACATTAGACTATTTTTGAAAAATGATATTTCCAGACATACATTTCACAATATGACTACTCAAGGTAAATGTTTTGAAATTACCAACAACATGTTTAATGATCTGAATCAAAGTCTAGAGAAGGATTTTTTTCTTCTAACAGTGTACTATTAATTCCAAGAGCATGATCGCTATACATATTGAAATAGTCATTGATGTTAATATGCTTAAGAATAGACTTATCGGATTTATGAATTCAAATAAGTGAAATTACGAACACGTGTTTTTTGTTCCATTAAGTATTAAGATTGAAATATTTCTTTAGTCTCAATTAACAATCGAACCAAGTCGTCTATTTTATCTTGAAATAATCCGTCCAAATTATTATTCAATCAAATCTTTACAAGGATTTGATCGTGAAACAACATCAACATATCAAATTGAATTACGTGCTCGAGATTTTGGTCAACCAAGTTTACGTCGTTCAATGACATTTGATTTAAATATAACTGACATAAATGATCAAAAACCATTATTTAAAACCAATTATACATTTGATATCAATGAAAATAATCAAATTCCAAGTGTTATTGGACAAGTTAATGCTTATGATGCTGATCAAGGTCTAAATGGACAAATCAATTATTCAATTGAACCACCGACACCCTATTTTATTATATCATCAATTGATGGAATTATAACAACAAATACATCATTTAATTATGAATCTAAACGTCAATATAATTTTCAAGTTCGAGCACGTGATTATGGTCAACCACCACTTGAATCATATGCTTTTGTTGAAGTTAATATATTGAATTTAAATGAATATTCACCTGAATTTGAAAAGAAAATTTATTATTTTATTATTAATGAAAATTCAACACATAAAAATTTAACATTTATTGGACAAGTTAAAGCAAATGATCCTGATTATGGTGATCATGTTACTTATTCATTACATGATGGTGAACCTTTATTTACTATTGATCAAAATGGAAATATATGGACAGAAGCTATATTTGACCGTGAAGAACATGATGAATATAAACTAACAGTTACAGCTACTGATAATTCAACAGCTGGTTTAATTGGAACAACAACAGTGATTATTAAAATTCAGTAAGATTTATTTATTTATTATTTGTTCTATCTATTTTCTTGTATATTCATAGGGATATTAATGATAATTATCCAGTATTTATCTGGCCTGATCCTGATGAAATTCTTCATAGTCTATCCGGTGTTCAATCACAACGTACTGATCCAGCAAATCCTCTATCACAATTTATAACTGATATTGTCGTACGAGATGATGATATTGGAAATAATTCATTTGTTCAATTATCCGTTACGAATAATGAATTATTCTATATTGGTTCAAATAATTCTTTATGGTTATATAATTCATCGATATTACCTGGAACATATGATATTGAAATTGTTGCAAAAAATCTTGATTTAATAACAAAAAAAATCTTTCATGTTATTATTTATAATCGTAGTTCATCAGGAACAAATCTTTTATATTATATGCGTCGACGATTTTCCGATTTTTCATTATTAATTATAATATTTTTATCATTTATAGCAACTGGTTCAACGATATTTTTATTGATTTATTATTTATGGATGCGTTTACATTATACCGGAGATGTTAAAAAACATTTATATGGTAGTCGATTAATTGTTAATGATGAAGATAAATCGAAACAAAATAGTCCACAAACTAAAATGAATATTTTATCAACTAATCATAATCATGATTATGCAGTTATTGTTAAACAAAGAAAAGTATGTTGCATTATTTGTTTTCGAGAAAACATTGACCTTTATTGAGCATCTGTATATGTAAAGGAAATCGAGTAAATGATGATGATGAT